TTCTGGCTCTCCCCAGGAGTGGCTGGTGGTTTCAAACTGCTGACCTTGCAGTTAGCAGGCCGATGTGTAATCACTATGTCACCACGTCTCCACACACAGGATTGATTTCAATACCTTCCTGTAGGCTCATTGGAAGGTCATTATGATCCCAGTTGACAGACATGTAAATTGAGATTCAGAGAGGTTAGGTCGCTTGCCCATGGGAAATGTAATTCAGAGAGGTTAGGTCGCTTGCCCATGGGAAATGTATTAAAAACCCAGCTCAAGAGAGAACTCAGCTTTGGACCCACTGTCTTCATCTCTCACACATGGGTCACATGCAATGCTGAGTCGTGGGTCTCCTCCAAGTGTCGAGGCCTTTCTTAGCGACTGTTGAGTGGGCTGAACTAGAGACTGTGGTCGTTGGTTGCCAACAAGTCAGTTCTGGCTCATGGTTCTCCCGTTTGGCCAGAGTAGAGCTGCCTGGGGGGATCAGGCCTGTGACCTTTAGGAAGCAGATGGACGGGCCTGTCTTCTGAATTAACTCTTGGGTCCAAGCTGTCAATCTTTCAGCTAGAGACCCGAAGGGCTTAGCCACTTATGCCACCCAGGGGCTTCTTAGAATATGTGCTGCCGAGGCAAGCACAACCACCCAGGGACTTCTGAACTAGAGATAGGGGCTCTCAGTAAAAGTCAGGACAGAGCCTGGTACATCTCATTAGAAAAAGCAAACACCAAACTGACAGCCATTGAGTCGATGCCGACTCATAGCGACCCTACAGGACAGGGTAGAACCGCCCTTGGGAATTTCCGAGACTGTAACTCTTTATGAGAGTAGAAAGTCCCGCCTTTCTCCCGAGAAGCAGCTGACAGTTTCAAACTGCTGACCTTGCGGTGAGCAGCCCAAAGGAGAAGCACTACGCTACCAGAGCTAGTACTTTTCATCGGTTCCCTTTCCTAATGCCCGTCAAGTAGCTTTCATCAGTATCCCCATTTGACAGAGGGGAAAACAGAGGCAGGAAGCAGCAGGTGACCTAGACCCATCATCAGATGACCTCTGAGGTCCTCTTGAGTTCGGAATGGGAAGTTCTTGACTTTAACAAGGGCTTCCCAGAATCCACAGCCCCTCACCTGTTCCCTACACTGCAACAGATGCAGGGAATCCCATACCTACACCCAAACTGACTGGTAGGCTGAATGCCAGGCAGCCCAGGTCCCTAGGCGGGCTTCTGCCCCTCACCTTCCACTTCAAGCTATTCTTTCAGCCCAGTTGCTTTCCCTGCATGATAAGGGGCCTGTCATAACCCCTCCATGCCTGTTCCCCTTCCTCCCCTCCCCCCTCCCCCCATGCCAAAGCTCTCTAGCCTGGAACTGAGCTCTGGGCTGGCTGGAACCCAGCTGGCCACATGTCCGAGCCCTCACCGTGGGGGAACCACCAATTTCTCTCCTCCCTGTCCAGTTTGCCAAGGCTCTGATGCACTTTGGGGAGCAGGAGAGCAGGATGCAGCCGGATGAATTCTTCGGCATCTTTGACACCTTCCTGCAGGCCTTCTCCGAGGCCCGTCAGGACCTGGAGACCATGAGGAAGCGGAAGGAGGAGGAGGAGCGGAGGGCACGCATGGAGGCCATGGTGAGGGGGCTGGACGGGGCTGAGGGGAGAGAGGCTGACCCTGAGCAGGGGGCGGTATGCATGTGGGCAGGCTCTGATTTGGAGCCTCTGGAGAGAGAAACCTTTCTGGGTTGAGGGCGAGTGTCTGAGCCCAGCTTAAGACAGGAGTGAGCTGAGAGGCCAGCGGCAACGTGGGAGGCGGAACATGGGCTCAGCTGGTAAATAGCACAGCAGCCCTGGTGGCTGAATAGGTTATGGCTGCCAGGTCAGCAGTTCAAGACCACCAGCGGCTCCGGTGGAGAAAGACGAGGCTTTCTACTCCGGCAAAGAGGGGCAGTCTCAGAAACCCACAGGGACAGGTCTACCCTGTCTTCTGGGGTCGCCATGAGTCAGAAATGACCTGGCGGCAGTGAGTTGAGTTTTGATGAACAGCAGCGTCGTGATGCCCAGTCCAGAGCGGAGCCCCAGTGGGTGGGCTGCCGTTTGGAGGAGGATTGGCCTGGGACTAATCCCCACCCACTCTCCACACCCAGCTGAAGGAGCAGAGGGAGCGGGAGCGGTGGCAGCGGCAGCGGAAGGCCCTGGCAGGCACCACGCTGGAGGAGGGCGGCGAGTTCGACGACCTGGTGTCCGCCCTGCGCTCGGGGGAAGTCTTCGACAAGGACTTGAGCAAGCTCAAGCGCAGCCGCAAACGATCAGGGAGCCAGGCCCTGGAGGTCACCCGGGAGCGGGCAATCAACCGGCTAAATCATTGACCTGCAGGACTGGCCACAGCAGGAGCCCGGGCCACAGGGACCAGAGGAGCTGGGTGGAGGCTGTGTGATGCTGAAACCATGTGGTGCTTGGGGCAGAGCCCTGGGCTGGGATATGCTTGTGACTGGACCAGGGCCCACTCACACTTGCCTTAAAGGGGCTCCTCTCAGCTCCTCTTCCTATTATTCTTTCTGCAGCCCAGGAGGCATTCTCTGAGGATGACTTGGAGAGTCCTGGCTGGCCCTAGGTCCCTGGCCAGGTAACCACAGGCGGAGGGGGCCCTGATCCCCTCCCCCGCACCGCCGGCGTCCACGTATTGGCACAGGATTCTTTCAGACCGACACCTGAGGAGCTTGTGTACCTTGTCCAGATTCCATATGCAGCAGGGACTGACGAGCTGGGTCTGGGTCTCTGAGAGCCGAGGTGAGGGAATCCTGGCCTCTACCCGTCCAGTCTCGGATCGTCCCGCTGAGCTCCTGAGCTGGGGGCGAACTTCCTTCTTGGATGGAAGAGGAGGAAACGTTCTGTATCCTAGCTAGTTCAACTCCGCCATATTCCGGAAGAGAATATAGAAAAGATTGAGAGCACGCTGCAAAGACCGAAGCCACCAGGACAGATGACCAGCGCCTGCATCCTGCGGCCCCA